TCAATTCTGAGCTGTTCTTTTAAATCATGGGATGTTTCCACTCGACACTCTTTATCTTGGTCAGTCAGCATCCGCATCCAAGGCACAAATTTCACAGTGATCCCTCTCATTCCCCAATCTTGTTAAAATTTGCTGAACCGAGCTCCAAGATAGTCCAGATAACGTCCCCATCTCTTCAGTGGTCCATTGTAGATCTTTGTACATAGGTACACAACTTTTGTGGACACTTTCATCCATTTGGGAAGTTGAAAGACACCCAGAAGGGAGTTTGTCATCAATCAACATTTCACCATTTTGAAATGAGAAAACCGTTCACACACTTGATTTTCCCCATAGTGCTGTCCTTGTAAGCTGTGTTCAACATCACAACAGTGCCTGAGACATTTCTCCCCAGAAGGAAACAAAATTTCATAGCTACATGCTATTCTCTTAAATCAGCTGTCACAAAAAATGAGGTTCAAGCGAAACTGCTTTTTATGAAAAAATTCAGTGGCCAGAGAGAACCATCCCAGTCGATGCCACTGGGTGCACTAACTCAGAGCAAATTGCTGTTCACCTAGCAGGAAAAATGCGTACTACAAAAGCCCTCATATATGATGCAGTGGGGAATACCATGGCTTGAGTCAGGCATATCTTAGTCCTCCAAGTAACATCCTTGTTCTTCAATACTCTAATGAGATCTTATGCAAATTTATTAATACAACTCGCCTTTTTCTTTAATCATTTTATTGGGAGCTCTTACCGATAAAACATTCCATAGTTCAATCACATCAGGTACAACTGGTACAACTACGTTTCAAAATTTTTTTCTTCTTGAATTCATTGATATCAGCACCCCTTTATTCCCCACCTACCCACAAGGAGCCCTTTTTTTGTTCTTGCAGCATCTTACACCATGTGATATATCCATTTAGGCACAATTCTGTTGTTTGCTCCCCTTGAGTGGGGTCATACAGTCATCAGTGCTACCAGCTGCTCCCCCTTCCCCACCTCACTTTCTGTTCCCTCAGGGAACCATTATTCCTGTTACTATTTCCGAAGGGTTATCTATCTTGGCTTTCATGTACCAGACAATCTTAATTATACAAATGAACATACACAAGTCTAACATGATTAAGGGGGTAAAATAAGTAAAAACCGTACAGTAAGGGGAGGAAATATTAAAGAACTAGAGGATAGTTGTGTGCTTCATCAGTGCTATATTGCACCCTGGATTTATCATCCCTTCTGAGAGAGACTAACTTGCAGATGGGTTTTGGGTGTCCACTACATCCCCACCCTTTACCAATTTGGTTGCTTAGTTTTGAACTTCTGATACCTTTTCCCATCGACATGTCATGATCACACAGACTGATGTGCTTCTTCCATGTGGGCTTGTTGCCTCTTTGCTAGATGGCTGCTTGTTTGACTACAAAGACCCCAGACACAATCGTTCCAGACACAATCGTTTAATAGCCAGGCACCATCAGCTTTCTTTACATTTGCTTATGCACCCATTTTAACACACATTTTTAAATCTCTTGACTGCTTCTTATATGAGCATTGATTATGGATCCAAACAAGAAAACCTTTGGTATCGTCAACCTTTTCTCCCATCTAGCATGATGTTACCTACTGGTCCAGTTGTGAGGATTTTGGTCTTCCTTACACTGTTTTAATCCCTACTGAAGTCAGTCCTTGATCTTCATCAGCAAGTGCTTCAATTCCCTCTCACTTTCAGCAGGCAAGCTTGTGTCATCTACAGACCTCAGGTAGTTAAGCTTTCCTCACATCCTGTTGCCACACTCTTCTCATGTAATCCAGCTTCCCTGGAGATTTGCTCAGCATACAGATTGAACAAATATGCTAAGAGAATACGAAGCACACCTTTCCTGATTTTAAGCCAAGCAGTATTCCCTTGCTCTGTTCACACAACTGTCCCTTGATCCATGTACAAGTTCCACATGAGCACAATGAAGTGTTCTGGAAATCCTATTCAAGGCTATCCGGTTTACTATGGCCACACGATCAAGGAAACACAACTAAACATCTTTCTGGTACTCTCTGCTTGGAGCCAGGATCCCTCTAACATCAGCAATGATATTCCTTGTTCCAGATCTTGAATCCAGGCTGAACTTTTGGCAGCTCCCTGTCAATGGACTTCTGTTACCGTTGCTGGATGATCTTAGGCAAACTTTTACTTGTGTGCAGTACCAATGAAACCGTTCTATAGTTTGCGCATTCTGTTGGGCCCTTTCTTTGGAACGGGTGCAAATATGGATCTCTTTCAGTCTGTTGGCCAGGTAGCTGTCTCCAAATTCCCTAGCTTAGATGAGTGCTTCCAGTGCTTCTTCAGCTTTCTGAAGCATTTCAATGGCTGTGCCGTCGACTCCTGGAGCCTTGTTTTTGGCTCATGCTCTCAGTGCAGACTGAACTTCTTCCTTCCGCACCACTGGTTCTTGTTCTTATGCTATCTCCTGAGATGGTGGCTTGCCCACTAGTTTTTTTGTGTGTGCAGTAACTCTGGATTCTTTCCATGTTCTCCTGATGCTTCCAATTAATACAGAATGAGGGAAAATAGAAAAGGCACCATTAGAACAGTACAGTAATTAGTCCTGCAGGCAAGATTCATCAATAGATAGCAGTATAGGGGATATTTTATGTAGAATCAGGTATTTGTCTGATTTCAAGATTCCCTTTCCCTCAAAATAGGTGTTACATACAAAGGAGAAAACTGTTCCTTTTCTAGACAGACCTGGTAGACCCCACCTGGACCAAATGATCATGGCCGCCATCCAGAGGCACACTGATGAGAACACGGCACCTCTGTGGCACCTTCCTTTCACGTGAGACCTCAGTCTAAGCAGAAGCAGCTGGCAAACCCAAGCTGAGGGGCTTCGCCAAGACAGCTGACCAGGGCTCAGCAAGGAACTTTGTGGTGAAGCGCTCTGCTACCAACCAAAATGTCAGTGGTTTGAACTTGCCCACTGACTTGTGGCAGAAAGCTGGGGCAGGCCGTTTCTAGAATCCAGCTTTGGGGCCCGGAGGCAGTTCTCCTGTGTCCTGTCGGGTGGCTCAGAATTCACGTGATGGCCCAGGTTGGTTTCCCGGACTCCTCAGCAAGGAGCGGTAGGGACAGAAACACAGGTGGAAGCAAGGGAAGGAAATGGGCCACTACTGCCCTGTGGAGCCCGGAACAGAGAGAACCTCCAGGGAGAAAGTGGTGAGAGCCAACTGAAGACGTAGTTTAATGACCAGTATTCACCCAGGCGAACATCGTAGTTTAGGTCAAAGTCTTACAGTGGTGTAATATGTTAATGGGAGGCCAACAAGGCAAAGGACCTACTGTACAACACATTTACAACTTTTCTCTACATCTTAAATGATCTCCAAATAATCTTTAAAAAAAGGTTTAACTTCTTTTTCTGAGGAGGGAGGTGTTACAAAAGAAACCCAATGAGGAGAGTCTGCGAACTGATGACTTGGCCATTAAGACACAAGAACTCAGGCACTAAATAAACGTGATACATTATGCTGCCACAGTTGTTTTTCGGTGCGTAAGGAATCCGCAACTGGGTAATTCCCATCCAAGACACTGCGTTTGATGGTTTATTATTTTTATTTTTAACTCGGCTTTGGTAGTACAAAAGTCGCAAAAGTACAAACCAGACAGTTAAAAACACATTTGACACTCAAAACGGAGAAATCTCTCCCTTACAAATGTTTACATCAAGGTGGTGCCCGACCCTTACTCCTCCCACTAGTAGGGTAAGATCCCTGTGGTGCCCAGTCCCCCACTCTCTGTCCCCCTCACCCAGCCTTTTGGAGGAAGGAAGGAAATCCCCAGTCCTGTAAACATCAGTTGCTTTGGGAACACTTCCGAATTCTCATTAGATCACATAAGCCAGTACAAAGCTGTTATGTGGTGAAAATACCGACTACTTCACGTTTTGGCAACTTTTCTGAAAGCCAGCCAGACAAAAAACTGCTCAAGTATTGGAAAATATTTAAAACATATTCTTGGTATAAATACAATTTTAAATATTTCTGAGTATTCTCTCGCCTATTGTATTGCTATTAAAAAGAGTGCACGGACCTGAATGAAATTTATATTTTTATATATATATATAAAATTAAAGCTGAGGAACATCTTACATATTAGCCCTCACCATTTGGAGGGCACAGTATTTTCCAAGCAGAAAAAAATTTAAAAGGCTTTTTCTTTTTTTGGCTTTAGACCATTCATGTATTATTTACACAAATACACACAAAAAACAATGAAGTTTATTTCCAGACTGACTGCGCATTCACTGGGTGCACATACCAACTATGTGCCTTTCATTAGTGTGTGTGTGTGTTTGGAGGGGCGAGGGGGGGGAAATGCTTATTGCATTGAGCTGACCTTTCACCTTTCATTTCAAAGGTGAGAACATTTAAGCTTGGGGCCAGAAACAGGGCGGAATGAGTCTCTTTACAGGAAACACTTTCACACAGCTCGTGGTGGAAATGGTCTGGTCATCACAGTTCAGTGGAAAAGGGGTATTCCTCCCGGAAGTGGAGTCCACAGCAGCATGTCAGCAACACTGACAGGGCGCAATCTTGATTTCTGGGCAACAGGCAAGGTGGTGGACTACCACATAGGTAGTCCTGGACACCTTAAAAAAAAAAAAAAGGGCAGGTTGCCAGGCCTGATGGGGAATTTAACCACCAAGTCTGTTAATGGAAACCAGGAAGTGCACCAAGAACCACGTCAGAGCTTGGGTGCTGGCCTATCTTTCACCAGAAGTGGATTTTTTGCCTTTTTGTTTTGGCCTTGGGTCAACATGAATATTTTACTTGAGTAACTTTCAACCGCTTTCTCCCTTCATTCAAAGGGAGACACAGAATCACCTGGCTCACACTCAGGCGACACTGCCATCTTTTTAGAATGACCTTGGGGAGGCAGGTATTCATGAGTACGGATTCCAGTCTAGGGCTGGGTCCCCTCTGTTTCTGAAGGGGCCACCAGGTTTTCTCCAAGGACCTATCTCCTCCACAGGTTCACGAGTGACCTGCTGTAACAGTTCAACTGTAAGAGCGTCTTCTTACAACCAGTATCCAAAAACGGCTGTGAAGGTTGAAGGACCTCAGACACACGCACGTGCCTGAGACCCCAGCATGAGCTGAGACTGCGTGACTAACTCCACTGTACACTGTATGGAGAAAGCGGCGCCAGGCCAGAGGGCGGAGGCCTGGGAGGGGTAGTCAGGAAGATCAAATATGGGCTCTTTCCTTTCCTGGGAATGAATACATTTTTCATCAGATATTTTAACCAAAAACGTCTTTCAAAGCTGAAAGACGTCCATGTCCAGCATAGAACACTATTCCCCGTTCGGTCCAATCCACATACTCGCAGATGCCATCATAGAAACTGTAGAAAAGATATCAAATACTCCCTAGGCAACTTCATAGCTTGTAAGGTTTTCCGTCTCCTAGACGTCTTCAAACGATTCCTCCTGTGGGAGAAAACACAAAGGCAGAGCTTTACAAAAGGCCAGGGCTCCTTTTGTTAACCTGCCTGAATATTTAAACAGAGGAATCAGAATCTACTCCCAGCCAAGCTCCCTTGCTCCTTCTCCCATTTACTTCCCTTCTTTATAAAAAGGAGGTTAAATATCACTGTTCCCAAAGGCCCACACTATTCGAGTTTTATAAAACAAAAAGAAGCCTGGGGACAAGAGCAGAGAGCCCGTCCGTCTACAGAACAACAACTCTGCACCCGGTCTGTCTGTAGAACACCACGTCTCCGAGCCCGGTCTGTCTGTGTAACCACATGCACAGGGATTCATGCTCAGTCTCTGTTGGAGTCTTTTTATTACTGTTACTATGTTATACATAGCAGGGTAAGTCAAAAGTACTGCTACAAAATCATAGCAACGCTGATTAAAAACATCACAACCTGAGGCTATGTTTCTTGCTGTTTCCTCCCTCTAGGTCCTACACATTCGAAGGCTGGGCTTCCATGTCTAACTCTGCCCGCGTGGAACCCTACACGCTCCAGTTCACAGCACGTGCACACATCTGCTAGGGCACCCTGGAGGGTTTCCTTTGAAATGCTCTTTGAGGAGCAAAACCAAGGCTGAGTGGCAAGATCAGGGTGATAGTTGGGGCGGGGGTGAGGTTTGGTTTCCGATGTGGTTCTCAAGGACAGCCCTGGGCGCCCTTGGAGAATGATTGAGTACATTGTCAAGATGAAAAACAATCGTTCCTCGGGGACACGTTCCGGCCTTTTTCTCACACAGCCTTCTGCCACTTTCCATTTTCTCAAAAACGTCTCCCTCAATCCGCCCCAGTGATCATCCTGTGTCTACCCCTTGGGAGTCCCTAAAGAGCCACCAGAACCTTCCGAACGGATCTCTCCACTGGCCTGGCGGATCCCCTCAGAAGCCACCGTGTGGATTGGACTGCTTGTTGAATAAGATCTCCTAATGTGACTAAGGATACCTGGTGGCAGAGTGGTAGCTCATTGGGCTGTGAACTGCAAGGTCAGCAGTTTGGAACCAGCGGCCGCTTTGAGGAGAAAGATGAGGCTTTCTACTGTAGAGTTACAGTCTCAGAAACGCACATGAGTTCTATCTTGTCCTATAGGGTCACTATGAAGCAGAATGATTTTAAAAAAAATCATTTTACTGGGGGCTTTTTTAACCATCCATCCATTCTGTCAAGCACATTTGTATAAATGTTGCCATCATCATTTTCAAAACAGGGGTGCCCTCCGGAGGGGAGAGAGAGGATATAACCAACCCTGCTTTACAACGGTTCTTGGTTCTATTGCCCAGGTGGTCCGGCCACATTTGATAAGCCTATGGCCACTCTTTTTGGAAAATATGGTGGTTGTAGTCTCACACAGACACCTAAAACCACTGCCAGAGTCAATTCTGACTCAAAGCAACCTTGTATTAGAACTCAGAGGCTGGAAATCTTTACGGGAACAGACAGCCTCATCTATCTCCTGAGGAAAGGCTGGTGGGTTTGAACCGCTGACCCCTAGGTCTGCAGTCTAATGCTTATCCTACAATGTCATTGGGGTTCTTAGGTCTTACACATAAGTGAGTATTTTGAAAATATCCCGATTCCAATTCTGTTCAACTACAGATGTAATTCTTTCTCCTCCAAGACAACCCACTGCTAGAAGGGAAGTAGTTTGAACGGTCAGCTTCAACCCCAGGCAAAGTAAGCAGCTCAGTGACAGCAGAAAGGTCAAAGCAAACCAGGCCTCCGACTCTGGATGAGGCAAGATGGGGTTCTATGACAGAATTCTCCTTCTACATGGGAAACCAGGGTTCGATTCCCAGCCTATGTACCTTGGGCACACACAGCCACCACTCGCCTGTCATGATGAACCAGTGCCCGGTGCTATGATGCTGGCAACACAGTGGCTGCAACAGTGGGCTCAAGCCTAACAAGTGTGAGGAGGGCGCAGGAGAGGCAATGTTTGCTTGTTCCATTTGTGTTATGCAGGGCTCTCTGGAGAAACCAAACCAAATCATAAGGGCACTTAGGGTTTTATATACATATATATATATGGTTAGGTTTGCTTTTCCATTTGTGTTAGGCAGGGTTCTCTGGAGAAACCAAACCAGGGCACTTATGATTATACATACATACATACATACACACATATATATGTAAATAGGTTTATATGATGAGAAGGGTACATAAGTTAATTAGTCCACACAGCAGTACAGACGGTTCAGTTCAACTCACTTTCATGGAATAGTTAGTACAGTAGAACCCTGGTCCTCGAGCACACCAGGACTCGACATAATCAGATTTCTACTCGAAATGTTGAGAAAATTTTGCATCAGAGCTCAAACAAAACATCGGAATTCAACCCAATGCACGTGATTTTTGTAAACAAAAGCAGTGTTGGCATTGTTAGTACGCGTTGTTTAAACCTTTTGCGGCTGTGTTCTAAGCGTTTTGCTATCATTTACTTTTTGTGGCTTTTTGTATTGTCTTTAGCTTAAAACATGGTTCCTAAGAGTTTTTTGAAAAGACTCATCATAGTAAGGAACTGGTTAACCATGTTTAGTAGATATTGTTGATGATAATTTAGTAAACCCTTTTAGAAAACAGTTAAGGAAACGACAACAGCAGACCACATTAGATTTTTTTTTTTTTAATCCAGAGAAAGCCAGCCAGGTCCTAGTGAAAAAAGACAAAGAAGGAACAACAACAACAACAAAACTCCTGAAAAGCAGCTACCAGTTGATTTTATGCTCGGGGATTCCCCTTCCAAACAATGACTCTCTGCACACCTCCTCTCCACATCCGTGTCCACAGATCCAGATCCTCATCAACCTCAAGGTACGGGCCATACTGTAGTTGCCTAAAACATTTTTAATGTTGCGTTTCTTATTTAAATTGTATTATTTAACTCTGAACTTACTTTGAAATTTCTGTGTAATGTTTTGTATAGAAAGGCAAGGTTAGGGTAAAAACTTGATGCATAACTTGACTGCATTGCATCTCAATGCTCCTTCTAGAACGGATTAGCGTTGAGGTCTGGGGTTCTATAGTATACTGGAAGTCCTTCAACTCATACGGGCTGCTGGGTCCAAGGTCAAGGAAGCAGACAGCAAAGTCTTCTCTCAGGCAAATCAGGCAGAATCTGCCCTCAGGCAGCAAACAGCAGGGTGAGTCAACAAGTCAGTAGCTCAGGAGCTTAGCAACGCATGCCGAAGAGCTATCAAACTCAAGCAATGCAAGGCGACAGGATCCACCAGGCTGAAGCTCAAGCAATGTATCAGAAGGATGGCAAAGCAGGTCTCGAAGGAGGTTCAAACTCTAGCAAAACAGCCACCTGATTAATCCCACATGCTCCTTTTGGTCAGGTTGGCACCATAAACCTATCACACCATTGTGCATAGGATTGCTGGGGACCAATTAACAAGGATGCTGAATAGGCTTCAGCAGAGCTTCCAGACTAAGCTGGACTAGGAAGAAAGGCCTGGCGAGCTACTTCTGAAATTAAAGCCAATGAAAACACACTGGATCCCAACGGTGCGCTCCACAACTGATGTTGGGCGGTGCAGGGTCGCACAGCACATCAATCCACTGTGTGCGGAGTGAGGTGGGGCACAGCTGGCCAGCAGCTAGCAAGGATGGTGTATCCTTTCAGAGCGGAACCATGTCACTGAGCTGCGAACAGCACCGATGAACAAAGTTATCCATCCGCGGAACACCCACTAGCCTAAAAGCAAACATAGTGCATTTAATCTGAGCCTCCTACAGACTTAAGGGACCTCTGAGATCCTCTAGCGCAGGGGATCTCTCCCCGGGCACTCTTGGGTGGCGATTTCCTGTGGAAGATGCTGTCCCTCCACGAAAAATGCTGCTTCTCAGGCTGGCCAGCTCAAGCTGCGAGGAAACTCGGGAGTAAAGGACAGGCCCAGGGACCCACAAATGCCCAAGAACTTAGGAACGCGAGACAGAATGGAAATGTCCCACAAACTCTTGGAAGCTCCCGTGTCCATCCGTGTATAAATGTGCGCGTATATACATGCATACATAAATGGATGTGTACGGATGTATCATTTGTGAAGCAAAACTGCAAAATGGAACCACCTGCTTTTTCCAGGAAATGAAGCAGGAGAGCTGCTGTGTGTCCCTGCCTGGCTCTTCCTCAGTCTGCTTGGCCTTACAATGAAAGGAATAGGAATGCGGGTTAATGAATCTCCAGAGATGGATATTTAGTTGTATTCCAGTTATTTTCTCTTTTTAAAAAGTTGTACACAAAGCTGAAGTGAACCGCCGTGGGTCTGTCTGTGCCCTCCTGTCGATACGAGATCGGGTCACTGTGAACCGAGACGGAATCCGTGGTCACGCATTCTTACTGTTATCTGGTCAAGGGGTGTATGAATTCACGTTTGACGTTTCCAAATGCTACCACAAAGCAGGCTTTTCTCCCTTCCCCTTTGCCTACACTGGGCCCCAACCAGGGTGGTCCTGTACTACATTGGCCGGGAGATTTCGGCTTATAGATGCTCAACCTAAGTGTTACCGAAGTTTCATTTTATGAAAATTATTGGCTGATGCTTGCGTTCATGTGTATCTCTGCTCAAAAGAGAAGCTGAGTGGTCTTGCTCTTTTAGCTTTTATTTAGCTGCTCTCTACTGGTTCAAGCCTCATAGCTATTTCAATGTTCATATAGTTAGCAGCAGTGCATTTCCCAGGCAACCAAAGGAAAACATCTGTGACTCACCAGTCCTTGGGGTGGTGGGCCTCGGAGCACTTTATTCTGAGTAAACGGTAACTGACATCAAAAGTTGTATGAGACGTGGAAAAACACATCGACTACTGAGGATTCTTTAATGCGAATCAGCACCACCCGATGAGTCTCAACACAGCTGTGACTTACTGTGTCAAGTCAGAACAGCTGCTTTCTCTGGGTAGAACCTCCTCGTTCTAACGAGGAAAACCAAGGAGGTGAGATCTTGCCTCTCTGTTGCTT